TAATAATTCTTAGTAATCACATCAGAAAAACGGATCAAGGTTGTTTCAAGGTGTTGCATCATTACGTTAAAAAAACCTGAGTAATTGTTGCCATTTAACAAGTTCAGCTTCCTGTGATTTGAAAGTATTTTCACGTTTAGAACCTGGGAACTGTTTGCTTCAGATTTGTGATGTCAAGTTAAACATTTCCTCTCTTGTTTGATCGCACAGTTCATAAAGAAATACGAGTTTGACTTTTGCAAAGTCAGAGACTTTAACCATTGTCTTAAAAATATTATTACCAGTTAAAACACAGACAGGCTGCTACTGTTTTCACCTTGTGAGTCTGTGTGTGTTTTTGCTACATAATGGAGACCATTTTCCAGAAAAATACAGCCTTGTGAGGCCCCAAGCTTGGTCCCCACAGGTACTAATGCTGATTTCAGGGTGGGGGGTTTGGATTGGGACCAAGATGTGATTTAAGTTTAGGTTAGTTTTAGGGTAAATGGTCAGAGTTAGGCTGGAAAATGAATGAAAGTCAATGCACGGTCCCCACTGGGATATAAAAATATACTTGTGTGTTTTTGTTTCCTGGTGGGGATGATTTTTGACCATTTTTCTAGTACACACATCCTGGTGAGAACCTACTGTTCCTTATGGGGACAAAAGCCCCGTCCCCATTGAGGGAAATACCATTGGTTTGTCAGGGTGGTGGGTCAGAGGTTAGGGTTAGGTATACTGGGGTGGTTATTTTTAGGGTAGTGGATCAGGGTTAGGCTGCAGAAATGAGCAGTAAATGAATGGAAGATTACGGGTGGGGGTTGGGTTTGGGACCATGGTGTGAATTGAGTTTAGGTTAGTTTTAGGGTCAGGTGTTCCTGTGAGGTTAGTCTTAGGGTAAAAGGTCAGGGTTAGGACATAAAATTTCCAAAAAATGAATGGAAGTCAATGCACCTTCCCCACGGCGATATACAAACCAGACTCTCTCTCTGTGTGTGTGTGTGTGTGTGTGTGTGTGTGTGTGTGTGTGTGTGTGTGTGTGTGTGTGTGTGTGTGTCTTACAGACATTATCAGTATTTACATGCGAGTACTGAGGTCAACATTAAGTTATCTAATGATAATTTCCCTAATTTCCCTCTGGGATCAATAAACTATTTTTGAATAGATTTCTAATTGAAATTGAAAATGTTCTACATGGAAAAACAAGATTCAGGAAATTTGATGGTCTGTAAACAGCTGTGCTGATGGAAATTAAAAGCAAAAAATTTATATTTACATTTAAATTTTGCTCAAAGAACTTATTTCACAATAAAAATTTAGAAATTCAATTTGACAAACATTTTATGCTTAATATGTTCTGTGGGCTTATTTATAATCTAGTACAGAATGTCTATGTTTCATTATAAGTCAGATGAATTCAGTGTTTATTTTGAATGTGAAGTACGATGCAGCTCTGTCGAAACATGACAAACTTTAAAGAGAAATATTTTTATTGTTTTGTAAAACCCATCTTTACCTGTTGGCATTTGATTCTGGCAGTTTGAGATTATTTTATGTTGTACTTCTGTATTTATATTTAATTTTATTTATTTTAGAACATATGTTTGGTGTTTGTTCATTTGGCTGCATTGTGAAGGACTTTGGTCAACTTTTGTTGTTTTATGTGCTTCAAAAATAAACTGACATTAACATTTTTTAATCATCACACTTTTAAGAAAGAAATGTAATCTGTTTCAGTAAAACTAGAAACATTTTTACATGTTTTTTGGTAAATATATATTTTACACTTTTTATTAAAGCAACAGACAGTTTTTAGTTAAACTTATAACCAATCRGTGTTTTTCTTTTTCTAAAACAATGAAATCATGTTTGTAGCTTATAAAAATTGATTGTTTTTGTTAATTTATTCATTAACTTTAGTTCCCATTCGTATACTCTTCAAAAGATGAGTGCTTCAAATCAACATTTTATTATCTTGCTGTTATTTACATTAGTGAGTTGTTTTGCAGTCATTTTGTTGGTTACATCAGTGTTTAAATAAATAAACCTGAACTTGTGTTAAAGTGCATTTTCTGTGTTGTTTTACTGAACATTTGCCAGAACAAACAGCTCATCTGAACAATTTGGAAAACATTTG